GTTCTGGTCGTCGACACCGAAGACGCGGTCACTCGAAGGGCGGCCGAAGACGCAGAAGGAGAAGGAGATCGCGCTCTGGAAGTGAAGAAGAATGAGATGTCGTTTCTCCTCAAAGACTCTCAGTTTCAGTTCAAAGACTTTGCATTTTATATCAAAATTAGTGTCTTTTTGTAAATAAAACCAAATAAAGTCTTTTGAATTAAAAATCAAATTTTTCTCATTTATTTGAATTTTTTCTTTTTATGCAAAATTGCATTCAATTATAATTTCGCTGATTTTAACTCTAAAAGAATGGTTTAATTATGTTTTGTATAGTTTTTATTTACAACTGAAGTACTGTATAATTGTTTTCATGTATTACAAGGAATGTGCTGTTAATCAATGGCTTTCCAATAATTCTGGTATTTATCTTAAAAGTCATTAAATTTTCAATTCATGTCTTCACTGCAGAAGAATATCTCAGTTTTGATTCAAAAACAAAAAAGTCGTTATCTTTCAAAATGCCGTTATTTTTACCAGAATTTGAATCTAAATATATTTGAATCAATGGTTAAATTGGTTTTATATGTCAGCTCCAGAGGAATGTCCGCAAAGTATTCACTATTTTTCTCTTCTATTGACTATTAATTGATTAGTTTTGAATATTATTGAAATAATGCATTCCTCAGGAACTGCTGGTATGTGTGGTAAACATTGCCAAAGACTGTGATATCTCTTCACCCAATTGTATACAAAACTTTGAGATCGACGTAAGAATTGAATGATAACTGAGTTTTTCATGTGATTTAAAGACTAATTATTTGTGAAATCTATAGTTATTATCAATGAATCGATGGAATGCCTCAAAGGGTTTACACGATTCCGACCATCACTGAAGAGATCCACTTCTTTACCATTCATTGCAAATGTATTTTTGAAAATTTTAATTAAAAGTTATATTTATTTTATATATTTTACGCATATTTTAATAAAACTTCATTCAGAGAGAGAGAGAGAGAGAGAGAGAGAGAGCCGCGAATAGGGGGATTGTGTCGTGAGAGGGAATGGTGTGAATGTATGGATTAGTTGGACATCCGTTACGTGTATTGCAATGTATATAACAATGAGATTGTGTCACAACTCGTGATTCAAAGGTCAAACTTTTGTTACACCTGTGAGTCATAACGCGGTGTCAATGCAGTGGTGACTGAGTGTGTCATAGAGTTGAGAAGCCGTCAGCCAATCAGAGCGCAGCGTTCAGTGCTTCGCATATCGGGCTTCAATTGTCTGCCAATAATTGAAACGCAATTTCATTTCAAACAAAGCGCGCGATTCGTAAGGCTTTCAGTCTTTCGATCTCTGGTTTGAAATTTGTTTTTGTTTTTTTGAGTTTTTTTGTGTTTTTTTTCGTGATTTCAATTTTCAATGCATGTATTGATCACCGAATGGATCAGCTCTTCGGCTGAAAGTGTTTTGCGATTGTATTTTGTGTCCAAAAAACGAATTAAACATAAAATGAATCGAAATTTTTGAGTTTTTTGTGTCGAAAATTCATTTTACGTTTCATTAGTTTTTTTTGGACACAAAAAACAATCGCAAAACACTTTCAGCCGAAGAGCTGATCCATTCGGTGATCAATACATACATTGAAAATTCAAATCACGAAAAAAAACACAAAAAA